AGCCAGACTCAGGGCCTGAGGGTCTTCAGTATTGGCACAGCCTCTCATGGCCACTACTGCCTCCTCCTGCCAGTGGTGTACCTGGGATCAGGGATATGAAGTGTTTGGCCCCTGCTGGCAGGATCAGTGCTCCTTGCCTGACTGGACTCTGGGTCTTGGGATGGGATGAAGCTGACTGTCTGCTGGGAGCCTGTGAGAAGCCACCCAGCCCCTGATCCCTGACTCCCAGCCCTGCCCCTGCAAATGCCCCTGACTGTGGTTTGTCTCTGCCAAGCATCTCACTTGGGTGTCTTGGTATTTTGTTGGTTTTTTCTTTGTAAATATCATTTGTATAACTCTGAGGCAGAAGATAGTCAGGAAGGAGGAAACTCCAGAGGTACCCCAGGGTTAAGATAAAGGATATCCATACAGGACAGAGACCCTGTTCTAAGACTGGTTGTTCCTGCTTTCTGGAAAAGTGCTGAATCATGGTGATTCCTGCACAGAAGATGCTACATGATTCCTGTTTCATTATAATAGCATTATAATAAATCAGCACTGCGGGACCTCCTTCTCCAGTGGACAATCAAGGAAAACCATGGGAGACCACATGTGCAGTAGCTTTAAGTAATACAATGATTTCTACATGCACAGTAAAAACCCACCAAAACTAGCCAGGAAGGATCTGCCCTATAAGAACCGAATCCCTCTGGCCCCTGAGGTCAATCTCTGCTCAGAGTTCTCCCACTCCATGTTCTGTGGAGTGTATTATTGCTTAATAAATCTGCTCTCTCTCTCTCTCTCTGCCTGCTACAACTCTCTGTGTTCAGTTCAATTTTTTGTCTGCGATCACCAAGAACCTGGTTACTTGTGCCCACCTATGACAACTCTAAATGCCCATGGTTTTTGAACTAGAAAGAGAAAAAAATAAAATAACACAAATTGAAAAAGTTAACCATATTGTGCTATAAAGCAAGTTCCAACAAATTTCAATTCAATAAAATTATATAAGGTATGTTTCTTGCTCTCATTGCAGCTAATCTAGCAACCAGTAATAAAACATAACTACAAAGTGCTGATATTTAAAAATTATAAAATATACTTCTACATAACCCACAAGTTATATTACAATTACAGTTAAAAAATAATTTGAAGTGAATGATAATAAAAATAGCACATAAAGAATGGTCTGAGAAAATATATTGATAAATCCACACATTAGGGAGAAAGCATGAAAATTTACAAATTTTGCATCATATTACAACCCTGAAATAATAAATTAAATCCAGAGAAAGTGGAAGAATGGAAATGTGCAAGTGGAGATATCTGGAAGGATATATACTATTTTGTTATTAAATGATTTTTATTGTTATTCTATTACAGTTTTCCATTTTTCCTCTTTGTCCTCCTCCGCCCATCCCACCCCACACAACTCACCCTGTTTAGAAGTGTATATACTATATATAATAGCAGTTATTACCTGTTTGGGTAGGATTTTCAATTACTTTTATTTTTCTTATAATTTAAATAAGCAGCAACAGCAACAAAAAATGCCATCTCAGGTTGGGCTTAAAAAGTACAACGGAAAACATGGCATAACTTAAAAATAATAAATATCTAGTCTGTTTTGGTGTCAACATCAGAGGCCTTTTCTTTGCTCACCCAGCCTGATCTCTTGGCTCAGAGGGACTCCTTTTCCAATTTTCACTTCTTCATGTGCAAATGCAGAGGAAATAAAGAGAAGTCATGTAGATGAGTGGAGAAGCCCTAAGCAGCACAGCAGGAGAGGGAGTTGCCGCAGGGCTTCCTCACTTCAGGGCTTCCTCACAGCCCTGATGCCAAGTAACTAAGAAGCAACACTACTGAGCTGATATACAGTGTGGTGCTTCATAATTCACCTGTGACAATACTGATCGTCTTAAAAACCCTTGTGTACTCGCAGCCATTTTGTATTAAAATTGAGGTATTTGCACTAAAGTTTTCTTCTTCACCGAAACTTCACAGAAAAGTTTTTTTCTTCTTTTGCAACTCCTCTTGGCATTGCCACGGAGTTAATGACTATAAATTTATAGACAGGCACATGGACCCCACACACAAACCCAGAGACCCCAAAGGCACACCCAAGGAGACCCCCAATCCCAGACCCATAGCTAAATAGATTCAAACCCAAGCCACAAACCTCAGAGACAGGACCCAGGTCCACAACCAAGACCCCACAGCCAGACTCCAGAGTTGGAGCTGGACAATGAATCCTAGTTGCCAGATGCCAAACACAGAGGCTGAACCACACCAGTCAGGGCGTAAAATATTCTTAATAGCATTTCTATAAGTGATCTTGAATCAATACTTAAATATGAAATTCATTGTTTGTATAATAAATGGTTTTCATCTCAAACAATAAGTGTGTGACACCATATATTTTGCACTGTGGAAATGTTCCTGCTGGAATCTAGTTTTGGATGCAAATCAGACACTTTGGGTAGTCACGATGCTATTGAGATAAGGAAGGCAGCACAGGCCACTGGATTTAATGAGGGTGTGCAGAAATTTTGTTGAGTCATTTTTAAATGCGTACATATATAACCAACTACTTCTCATCCATTTTTTTATCTACAAAAAGTACTTATAGATAGGTTTATTTTAAGTAAAGGAGAAAACAAATGACACGACATTCCAAATGACATGAAGGAAAAGCAAGTTTCCCCCTCCATGTTGCCCAGGCCCTGGTCCCAATGACTACTCTCTGTGTCTCCTCTCAGCACGTCCTCTGCCTGGGTTTGTTTGTTTTTTTAACATAATTTGTTTTGCAGGATACTTTTCTCACATAATAACATTATTTAGAAGTCATTCTCTGTTAAAATTCTTTAGAACCACCTTACTAGTTTTTATTTCTTTAATGAAATATATTCTCACCCATTTTTAATGTTCTATAATATTTCAGTGTAAGCAAACCATAATTTAACAAATTCTCTTCTACTGAAAACTTTAAAATGATATCTGTTATTATGTGTTGAATAAAATGTATTAAACATACTTCATTTCATACACAGGAAAGCATAACTGGGGGGGTAATTTTTAATGCTTTTCTTTTCATTCATGTATTAATTGGAAAGAGAGAGAGAGAGAGTTAGTCATTCCTCTTATGTACTCATTCATTGGTTGCTTCTTATATGTGCCCTGATTGGAGAATGAACTGACCACCTTGGCATATAGGCAGGACACTCTAACCAACTGACCTACCAAGCCAGGGCTACTAGGAGAAAATTTTGAAAAGTAGAATTTCTGGGTTAGAGGGTATGAGGGTGTTATTTCTGGATGGCTATTCTCAAAATGATCACTGGAGAGTCTGCACCCAAAGGACCCTTCCCTGAGTCTTTCAGAGCAAGGACACTGTACCTGCTTGCTCATCAGCCTCAGACATGTTAGGAGTCCTCTGGATCCCCACATGGGCCACCAAACTATGTTGACCTTAAATATATAGCAGTCAGTTATTTTACCAGCAGATAAGGAGTTTATTCAGAAACAGTAAAAATTTGCAATTTAGGACAAGCAAGCTGTAGCAAAAATCATAAGTAAGCTCCACAAGTAAAGGAGAGGAACATTATTTTACAGGGAAAAAAGAGGAAGTTGGGAGGCGTCATTTCAAATGAAAGTGCAGTGCAAAAAACCCTCAGTTCAGGGTGACGATGGTTTCTTTCTGGCTGAGTTGCTGGGGAGTCGGTTTCTCCTGGGAGCACACAGTACATCTATATGTTGGGGCCTGTGACAGACAATCTTTCCTGTAATTGACCCTGGGTGGTGCTATGTGACAGCACACACGCTGACCCCCAACTCCACTTTAGTGAGGTTTCCTTTATGCAATTTCACAGTAATAATTAGTTGGCTTATTTGCAATCCATGGAAATCAAGTTATATGTATGTGCTCAAAACGAGGTAAGGACCAGAGACAGTCTGTGCACTTAAGAAAGCCGGTAGCAGCTATAATGACCCTACTCTGTGGACCCCTGTCCTCAAACTCGATATCTTATTTTTATGCAAAATACTTGCAGGTTTTCTCAGCACTTAAAAAATTTATTTAGTTTTGTTTTTTTAATTTTTTAAGATTTTATTTATTTATTATTTTTAGAGAGGGAAGGGAGGGAGAAAGAGAGAGAGAGAGAAACATCAATGTGAGGTTGCTGGTGGCTGTGGCCTGCAACCCAGGCATGTGCCCTGACTGGGAATTGAACCTGCAATGCCTGGCTGGCAGCCCACGCTCAATCCACTGAGCTACACCAACCAGGGTTGGTTTTGGTTGGTTTATCTTGTCTTCCTATTTCTGAAATCTTTTTACACCTGACTTACTTAACTATACTTATTACTCATAACACCACTTCTTTGAGATGTGAAATTGTCCCGGTGTGTTTTCCATTATACTTATTATTTTATTTGTTGCGTTTAAATGTTTGAACCGTCTGGGACTTCTTTTGTGTCTGCGAATTGTATGGTCAGAATTTATTGACATCAGTTTCCCGGAATACAGTGCAGTCTTGACCGCGTACTGGTTATGCAGCTCTTATTGAAAGTGGGTTTAATAAGGGAAGGCACGGAGGGCTCTAGACGAAGGTTGGGAATCCCGACCACAATCTGGTGGAACAAAGACACTTTGTCAGATGGCAGGAGGGCGACGTCCACCCTACAGACCTACCTGGCTCGGCGATCCCAGCTCCCAGCTCCCGCGGGTCGGATGTCTCACCACCCGCTGGAAAACTAGCCACGGAAACCGCCACGCCACGGTCCTCGCTGCAGGATGCAGACTGGCGCTCGGGAGACCCAGAGTAACCAATCCCTGCGGGGAGGGGTTGGTCTTCCGCCGGCCAGCCCCCAACCGAGGGGGCTCCCCTCCTTGTCCCGCCCTTTCATCTTCTTCTGGCCGCCCATTGGCGGGCAGGGCCCTGGGATCCCACCGCTGATTGGAGGATTGCTCCCACAAGGCTATCCAGGCAGGAACCTCGCCCCTGGCGCCCTCAGTCCTCCCGAGGGCGGGAAACCCAGGAGCTCACAGAGGACGCTGCACTGAGGTGGGCAGCGCGGTAGGGACCTCGGGAGACTGACCGGTAAGCGGGGAACTTTACCATGCGCAACCCTCAGCCCGAGACCTTCCAAGCCCAGCCCGAGAGACCCCAGATGCCCTCATCCCGAGGGGCCCCAAACCCCTTCAGCACCGAGGGGCTGCGTCCGCTAACCCGGAGGACCCCACGTCTCCTGACCCCCAACGCTCAGACCCCCAAACAGCCTGGGAACCCCAGTTCCCCTCAGCTCGGGGCGCCCTTCCTGCAGCTCACCCGGAAAGACCAAACCTCCCCAAACTCAGAGACCCCGAATGCCGTCGTCCTGGAAACCGACTCAGTGGAGGGGACCCGGAAGCCCCTCGTGAGACGCCCCAACCCCCCTCAGCCGCGGCGGTTTGACCCTCTCCCCCGGGACGCTGAGTGTCCTCCGCCGGGAAGACGCAGATCGTGTCCCGAGGGACCCCGAGCCTCTCAGCCCGAGAGATGGCGGTCTGCCCGACACTGCGCCTGCGCCTCGTGCGGGCTTCTCCGGACCCCGGGGCGCCTCCGGGCCCTTCCCCGGGAGAGGCGCGGTTCCTGCGCCGCCACAGGCCCGCCGGGCCGTGGGGCCCCTCAGACACCAAGGCCCGCAACAAGCGGAGGGAAGGGTGGGAACAGGGTCTGCGGGTGGCTCCGCCCATGCAGCCCCTTCTCCCACAGGGCCCCCACGGCCCCCTCTCCCGGAGCCCTGCCAACCGGGAGATGGGTGTTCCGTCCTCTCAGCGCCTTCTCCTTCCACAGGCGCCTGGGACTCCGGGCTGGGACACCAGGCTTGGACACCATGAACCCTGACCGGGGCCCACAGGAGCGCCCTGAGGGAGAAGCTGGGGGGACGGGGTGGACGTCTCAGGTGAGCTGAGGGGTGGGCGGGGAGCGTGGGGACACCCGGCCCTCAGGGTGACCCTCCCTGTGCGCGTGCAGAGCACTGGTGGGATGGTGGGAGAGACGGGACTTCGTTTCGCAGGGCCAGGGCAGGGAAGGGTCAGGGAAGTGGGAGAAGGCCCAGGGTGCCAGCAGGCCCCCTGCACATACCCCAGAGGACTTAGCCACTCAGGGACCTGGATCTCGACTGAGACCAGGGCTCAGTGCCTGCAGCACAAAGACCACCAAGGCCCTGCCTGCTCCCTGCACCTAGAGGCAGGGAAGGCCCGCCCCACGCGTTCTCACTCGCATCACTGACTTATTGGTGTTTCCACTCTCCTCTCCAGGCCAAAGAAGCTTTGAAAGACACTTCCCTCTACTTCTCCAGGGAGGAGTGGGCAGAGATGGGAGACTGGGAGAAAGGCCAGTACCAGAACGTGAAGAGGAACTTAGACGTGCTCACCAGCCCAGGTAGCACAGGGGCGCTGGGCCCAGGGGCCCAGTGACACGACAGGCTGCTGGGCTGGCTCCGCCTGCAGCTCCCTCCTGCATGGACACTAATTGCAGGGAATTTGCTTCTTGGCGTCAGACCAGGGCTGGTGTTGACGGCGCAGCGCTCACAGCAACTTGCTGTAGACTCTCCCACCCCATCCGAGCCAGTCCCATGGGCTTCCTGGTGCTTGTTCCTCCTCCAAACTCTTTGCTTTCAGGACAAAGGTTTTGTCTCTTTCCAGGTTTCAGGCCCCCTCGACCAGCTTTCATGTGTCACCGCCACAGGCAGGCCACCCAGCTCCAGGAGAGGGACCCTGAGGACTCCGTTGAAGAACGGGCTCCGAGGCAGCAAGGTGAGCATCAGGAGGAGCCAGAGCTGCCCTCCTGACTCGGACCTGGTTTAGGTCAGGCTGCATCTCAGGACATAACCAGGGAACACGGTTTGCTGGTGCAGCGAACAAGCAAGATGCACAACAGTGTATCGTACAGTGAGAGGCTGTTCCTGTAAACTTTCACGTGGGCAACATAATCATAAATATATTCATAGATGCATTAATAAGCAATAAATGTATAAGAACATACAAGTGAATAAGAAATAACTAATTCCAAAAAGAGTTGTCATTGCAAGAGAGGGAGGCAGGTTTGCCTGGTGACGAGTGTCCCAACACCTGGCTGCCCAATGGCCTGCATGGAGACAGATGGGGAACAGTATTAGCCATGGTAATGACAGGAGCTGGGGGAGGGCTTGATCACTGTATGATTTCCTGATGTCGGCCGGGGTGCCGTTCTGTTCAGTATCCTTAGTATTTGGTTGGTGGAATCCATCCACTTTCATGGGTCTGGGGTTGAAACCCAGCTGAAGTCAAGATGTGATCTTTAATGTGACTGGAATTCTGTTTCTGGGGTCAGCGGACTGTGGATGCTGACCAGAGTCCAATGATTAAGGAAGGGCATGGATGGCCACTATGTGCACAGGAGGGAGGATACCAGAGAAAGGAGGCTGGGTGGTCCTGGTGCTCGTAGCTTGGACAAGGACACTTTGAATGAAGAAAACAGGACGGAGAAAGGGCTATGTTGAAGACATGGAGTTTCTGTGCAGTTACTTTTATTACATTTTTGTCAGGAGAGGCCAATTTACTTTTTTAATAAATGTGATAGATGCTTTATGAACATAGGGTAAAGCGTAGATGACACTTTGTCTATTTTTTTAATAATTCTAATGAAATTAGTTGATGGCCCCAGTAGAAGCCTAGGCCTTAATTATACCTCAGAAAACATTTTCCAGTCATCCTGGGATTGTTCTTGGACTACTCTCATTCAGACTTCTGTGTCCCTAATAAGAATCTCCAAGTTTTGGAAACATTTACCAACCTAAACACTGATATCTCATCATCTTTCAGTGATACCTTGTGTGGCCTTCAGAAAGGAACAGAGTAAACACCAGACGGTGAGTATTTCCCAAATCCTGTTGACAACAAAATTTTCCTCATGGATAGAAAGGCAGGTAAGAGTAGGAAAATTCAGAAAGTATCCTAGGAACTGCCACCTTCCTTTCCTGATCTCTTCAACACACTGTCCAACATTACCATCTTTTTTAAAAGATTTTATTTATCAATTTTTTAGAGAGGAAGGAATGGAGGGAGATAGTGAGGGAGAGAAACATGTACGAGACACACATATATATGTTGCTTCTCACATGCCCCCAAGTGGGGGACCTGCTCAACAACCCAGGCATGTGCTCTGACTGGGAAGGGAACTGGTGACCTTTTGGTCTGCAGGCCAGCGCTCAATCTACTGACCAACACTAAGCAGGGCTCATCATTATCTTAATAGTTAACAACTACAGCAACAATAGTAACTACCATTTGTTTCATTCTCACAATGTTTCAGATTTTAAGAATTCTATGTGAATAAACTCAAACATTACAACAACCCGATGAGGTACATACTATAACTGTCACCATTTATGATGAGGGAAGTGAGCTTTTGGAGATAATAGAAATGTTTGACTATATGTCTAAGATTACAGTATCACTGGTAGTGCAGTCCAACCCATAGTTGCTTCTCTAAACAACTTGCAAACTCATTAAAACTTTCATAGTTTTACCCTGGCCACTGTGACTCAGTTGGGTCTCATCCTGCAAAATGAAAGAACACCAGTTTGATTCCTGATCAGGGTGCATGCCTGGGTTGTGGGCCAGGTTCCTGGTTGGGGCCTTTGCGAGAGGCAAGTGACCAGTGTTTCTCTCTCACATCGATGTTTCTCTTCCTCCCCTCCTCTCTCTCAAAAAAACAAAACAAAACAAAATCCTTTTAAAATATTAGAAAAGTAAACTTTCATAGTTTTCTAAAGTTTCCACTGTCTTATCCATGTGTCATTACATCATTCACTGACTGACAGTTTCGACCAAAGTTCTTCTCTGCTATGCTGAAGTGAGAGATGCACAAAGACCCTCTGACTAAGGAAAGTGTACAATGTGCAGGCAGTTTGTACAGTGAATGGTCCCAGATGAAGAAGAATGTAAAATGTCCAGAATCACAGCCTCCCACTCTAATTAAAGAGCATCTCCCACCCCTGAGGAGCTTCAGGTTTGATGATTGAGAAACAACAAATAATAAAATGACTTAAGGACTTCATATAGGTTACACGCTCTTCAGTAGAAACTCATCTGTCTGGAACTGATTTCAAATGCCGTTTCTTGTAGGGTGAAGTAACAGTTTCTTTCTCTGAGTTCCAAGGAGGCTGCTCTAATTCTGTTTACAATCATTTGTTCAGCCTGCCCACATCTGCTTTGTGAGCTCTTTGAGAGGCTGGTCCATACCTGAGTCTTCTCAGAGGTCACAGGCCCAGATCGGGGCCCCTTGGGGCCCCTGAATGTTTGCTGAATGAATGATTTCACAGTTACAAATTAAACTAGAAGATGATCAATGAATGCTGAAGGTAATTTCTGTGAGATTTGAAATATGGAGAGACCTGAGGGGTAAATTGATAGCAGGACTGTAATCTCACATTCACACTGTATTACACAATTCACAGAACACCTTGGTGAGCATTACTTAATGGCACGTTCACTAGAACATTGAAAATTAGGGTGCTATAGATCATGAAACTGAAGACAATTAGCTACTGATACATCCTTATCCAAACATAATTTGTGGGAACCAGCTAATCTAAGTACAAATATTCTTTCTAAGGTATTGCAGATTTTATCACCATTTTATTGTGTAGGTATGTTTCTGCCAACTATTTCTTTATTCTCTTCCCCATATCCTTCACTCTAAATATTATACAGACAGTTGAAAGAAAAGAGCCATAAGGCATGGGTTCTAACCTTGGATTCATTATCCACATTGGCCATTTCCCCTCTAATCATACTCCCTAGGTATTTCCAAAGGTGGAAGTTTTAAAGACACGCATGTAAATTGTTTCCTAAGCCCTAAAAAAATTAAATACATGCTATCTTTTACTATGTGAGTCTTATATTAAAGGCAACATCCAGGATACCATTAAGAAATGAATATAATTTGAAGGAATTGTCAGGAATAGCGAATTTGATGACTGCAAGTGACTCAGAGCATGCCCAGAAACCAGTGTCCCCTCTTGGAGAAGCATGTGCCTTTGCAAAGCGCACTAGACGAAAATCAGGTAAGAGAAAGTAACTTGGAAACTTTAATTCCTCTAAGTCCTATAGAAGGGCTGATAAGTATGACCTAGGTCTGTGGGGAGGACTTTGGATAAGCTTGGATTTAAGCTGGACTAAGCTCAGACTGAAGTTAGCACTGGAACTTTCGGCATTCGTATAAATTCTCTGAGCTCCTGAATGCTAATGTGTAAAGTGGAGATAAGGAAACATCACTCATATATTGTTTGAAAACACTAAATTAAATTTAAAACAATTGACACATGCAACTTGTTCAATAAATCCATCTGTGATAACAGCAACCACACTATTGGTGTTGTGTGCCCAGGCCTTTACTCAATGCCTAACACGTAATGTGCACTCCATAAATATTTTATGAATGATTGAAGATTGTAAAGTTAAAACTGGTCATGGGAAGATCTAGAAACTAAAATTGAATCATTCATTTGTACTTAGTGTGGAGTCTTACTCTTCTGAACCAATAGTTAATGGAGTAAATACCAGAGTATGCAAAAGGATAGGTAGTAATTTGATGGGAGAAGATTGTGTTATCTGACAAAATGGGAACCAACACTCCAGATGCCACCACCCTCACTCACCTGCCCTTCTTCAACTTAGAACTCAGGACAAAGGAGATGGACGTAAAGATGTACAACCTACGAGAAAGAAAGGGCCGTGTGTACCAAGAGGTCACCGAGCCCCAGGATGATGACTACCTTTGTAAGTGACCTTTTGTAAGTGACCTTCACTAAGAAGCATGTGATGATACAATAATTTCATCTAGTCCTTTGGTCCCCAAATCATCCCCTTCCTCTAGTGAGTTGGAGTATATGATTGAGTCTCAATGATGTCAGTGCTGAACTCCCTCTGAAGTTCTTTGTGTCCAAGAACATGCATTATACCTCCCCTAACCCCTGTTGCTCTCGCCTCCAGATTGTGAGAGGTGTCAGAACTTCTTCATCAACAGCTGTGCTGTGCATGGGCCCCCTACATTTGTAAAGGACAGTGCAGTGGACAAGGGGCATCCCCACCGCTCAGCCCTCACCCTGCCCCCTGGGTTGAGAATCGGGCCATCAGGCATCCCTGAGGCTGGGCTTGGAGTGTGGAATGAGGCAGCTGACTTGCCAGTGGGTCTGCACTTTGGCCCTTATGAAGGACACATCACAGAAGATGAAGAGGCAGCCAAGAGCAGATACTCCTGGCTGGTGAGAACTCTTTACCTCTTCCACTGTCCTCTGACTTCCCACATTCCTTCTGAGGCTTGGAGGGACCTCACCTCCTACATGCTAGGTGTGGAGGGGACAATATGGTTAGCTCTGGGTACTGACTAGACTTTACATGAACACAGAGCTCCTGTTTAAGGAGCAGAAGGTAAGCGGGAGCAAAGTGGTGCAGACACAAAGGAGTGGCTCCTCCCTTGTGGGACTCCTGCTCTGATTGGACAGGTAGACTCGGATGTGTAGATGATGAGTAAGAAAAATATGTGGTCACAGCTGACAGTTGAATCCCCATGCAGGCGGAAAGAGCTTTGATGACAGTAGAGTAAAATAATTCTTCTGACTATTACCTTCCCACCAAAAGAATAAAAGGTCTTTAACTTCTTTTCTGAAACACAGATCGCCAAAGGGAGAAACTGCTATGAGTATGTGGATGGAAAGGACAGGTCCTGGGCCAACTGGATGAGGTAAGGTCAACAGGTCTGTGGGTGACAGAGCGGACTCTCATCCCCCACAAGCCCTTATATACATTTTCCTCTCGTCATGCCTCCCTCAGTGCTCTCCCTTAATTATTTTTTCCTCTTTTTCTCCATACAGTGTTCTTTCATATCAGGGGACATTTAGGAAAAAAGTATAGCATATTTCCTCAAAATATAAAGCTAATTGCTAGATACAATGTGGGCACTGGAAAGGACCTTGAAGAACCTAGATTCACCCAGGGACACTGGATTACACTTTTATTTATCAAATGAACATTAATTAAGCACTATATTCCAGTTTAGGTGAAGGAATACATTGCTCAAACAGATCACACAACCCATGTCCTTATGAAGGACTTCTTGCAGACAGACATACAACAATTACTTTTGGAAACATTTAATTGTAATTTCCAAGAAGTGCACAGAGTCAAGATAGCACAAACCAAAGATGGCTTAAACCTGTACAGGCAGCAAATCATCCCAGCCTCACTTCAAACTATAACTAGGCTCTGATCCTGCAGAGGAATGGTCATGGGCCCTTTTCTGAGGGGGGCTCTCTTCTTATCAGGGATAACAGAATGTCAATCAACTACTATTGTTCTCTTTTTTATTTTACTAAGACAAAAAGACCTTCAATTTTCTATGGTGACCTTGGGCAGGCAAGTGAATTGTACCCTAAATAAAGTGTAGGGGGGTTGGAGAAAGGCCTCTCAAGAGAAAATAGACGTGGGCTGAGTACTGGATAATTGGTGAGCTAATTTAGAAGCAGAGCCCTAGATCAAGCACCAGGTTCTGTGGTGTGAGACAACTTGATTTAGAGTTTGGAGCAGCCAGAGATCACGGGATATTATGGCCCATCAGGGTGGAAGTTAAGTCTAGAACTGGGTTTTAGAAAATGGTGTTAGGCAGGATTAGCACTGCAAACAGGACTTGGAGATAGGAATTCACATGACATGCTGACAGATGCTCAGACACTGAACAGAAGGTTCCCCAGGAGCATTAGTGACAATGGGCAACGTCAGAGCCTAAGGGCCTTAAGAATCAGTGAGAAGGACATGGATGTAACAGGTAGTGGGAACTCATTGCTGTGGTTTTCTTTCCCTTCATCTGCCTCAATCCCAGGTATGTGAACTGTGCCCGGCATGATGGAGAGCAGAACCTGGTGGCCTTTCAATACCACAGGCAGATTTTCTACCGAACCCGCCGGGTCATCAGGCCAGGCTGTGAGCTGCTGGTCTGGTGCGGGGATGAGTATGGCCAGGAGCTGGGCAGCAAGTGGGGCAGCAAGTGGAAGAGAGAGCTCGCAGCTTGGAGAGGTGGGCACCACTGTTCTTCAAAACAGAAAGAAAAGAGAGAATTCTCCATAGAAATATTCATGATCCAACTCTTCAGTAGAGTAAAATCCACTCTAAAGTCAGTAAAGTTCAACTCAGATGCTTCAGAAATTCACAATTCATTCCTATGAATGCAAAATTTTTATAGTTTTTATTTTTAAAATACTTCTTCAACAAAATACACAATTGCATTATAGTTCTGAAAGACTGAGAGGCAAAAAAAAAAAGTTTTCAAGCACTAACCAGTTCTCTCACCAAGGCAGTTTTTCTGACACTTTTATAGCTGTTTCTTCTTAATTTTCCTCCATATTATAAACAAAACATTTTTGTTTATAGGCATTCATTATTTAAAGATTTTTCCCTGGCTGGTGTGGCTCAGAGGGTTGAGCGCCAGCCTGTGAACCAAAAGGCTGCCAGATTGATTCCCAGTTGGGAAACATGCCTGGATATTGAGCCAGGTTCCCAGTATGGGTCACATGAGAGGCAACCATACAGTGATATTTCTCTCCCTCTCCTTCCCTCCTTTCCCCCTTTTCTGAAAATAAATCCATAAATGAAATATTTTAAACCAAGGTTTTGTTTGTTTTTACAGAGAGTGGAAAGGAGGGAGAAAGAAAAATCAATGCAAGGGGAACTAATTGGTTGCCTATGGCATGCCCCCAACTGGCCCACAACTCTGGCATGTGCCCTGACTGGGAATCACACTTGTAACCGTTTAGTTTTCAGACAACACCCAACACACCAAGCCACGCCATTCATGCAGGACACATTCCTTCATTATTTCAGTGAATTGTCAGGTGACATCCTACTCTGTGGTGCACAGAGTCCTAAGACCTGGAAATACAGATTAACATGAGGATGAGAATCACTGCTCTGGAGGAGCTGACCAATAAAGGAGGGAAATGCAGGCCCACGTGCTTGCATGTGCATAACACTACACAGCAGTTAGTGCTTTGGAGAAAACTAATCCAGGACAACTGCCTATAATCCAGGGATCAGTGTGAGGGGAGGTACGCTGTGGCAGGTGGTCCAGGAAGGGCTCTCTCAGGAGATAACATTTACAAAAATACTTGCAGACAGAGGATCCCAGGCAGAGGGAGCAAGTATTGCAGGGAGAAAAGAGGTGCGGCGTTGAATTGGCTGAGGGTCACTCAGGTCTCAGTCTCAGCACAGAGGGTAAGAACAGAGTTCAGATAGATGCTTAGCAGCCCGTAAATGCAGTGCTGATGACCCGAGTTGAGACACTGGGGACTTGCCTGACTGCAAGTGTGCAGTCTTCAGCTGTAGAGTGGTGTGTTCTCTGTTCTGATTATGGTTTGTTAATTTTTAGAAAATAAACTCCAGTGGGGAATCCCTTCAGAGATTATTACTTCATCTCCAAGTGAGAGAGCATGGTACATTGGCCAGAGAGGAACAGGAGTCAAGCATGTAAGACGTGTGGTTGGAGAAATATTTTGAAACAGGACTTCTTATGATATTTGAAATGGACTAACACTGAATGAAATGATGCACAAATATTTGGTGTGAGGCCAGAGGAATGACTTTGTTTAAAGATTTTGTTTATTCACTTTTAGAGAGGAAGAAAAAGAAAGACAGGGAAACATCAATGCATGGTTGCCTCTCACATGCCCCCTACTGGGGACCTGACCCACAGCCCAGTCATGTACCCTGACTGGGAATCTAACCTGTGAGTCCTTGCTTCACAGAGAGGCACTCAATCCACTGAGCCACACTAGCAAGGGCAGGAAAGACATTTTATTTTATAGTTTTGAAAAACTGAAAGAGAAGCAATTCCTTGTTTTCCTCTTTCACATAACTTAGAGGACACCTGTAGTTGGGAAAAGTCACTACAGTTCAGAGAATGAAATTGCCTCTCCTGCTACTCGAAAGTCCCTATTCTGAGCAATATTAGCAAATACCCTTGATGTGGGCTTTGTGGATTTCTGAAGAAGATGCACTGCATAAAAATAAGAGAAAATAGACCAAGAGTGCACTCTCTGTGGGAGACGGAGCTTGCATTGTCACCACAGTAAAAAGGATTCATGGGGCAGGTCTTACCAGGAAACAAGTTGTGTGGCCCAGGCATTCTCATAAACATGTGCCCTGACCAAACCTTTCTCTTTCAGCAGAACCAAAGCCAGAGATTCACCCATGCCCCTCCTGCTCTTTGGCCTTCTCCAGTCAGAAGTTCCTCAGCCAACATGTGAAACTCAGTCATCCCTCTCAGATTCTCCCGGGAACATCTGCCAGAAAACACCTTCAAGCAGAGGAACCCTGTCCAGAGGATCAGAATCAGCAGCACCAGCATACTCATACACACAGCTGGAATGATAAAACTGAAGGTCCAGAGATCAAAGAAAGGTCCAAACCTTTGCTTAAAAGGATCAGTCAGAGGAGAATCTCAAGACCCTTTTCCCAAACTTTCAAAGAACAAATGAGGAACTCTAGTGAGCATCAGAGAATGATGGAGGAAGAGCCCAACAGATGCCAGAAAGAGAGTCCAGAGGACACAGGCAAGGTATTTGCAAAACTAGGAATGTCAAGAATTGTAACGATCAAGTATGGAGGGTTTGGGCAAGGCTTCAGTGATGGGTCACATCTCACCACACAGCAGAGGACACACTCTGGGGAGAAGCCCTATATTTGTAGGGAATGTGGGCAAGGCTTTACACGGAAGTCACATCTCATCACACACCAGAGGATACACTCTGGGGAGAAGCCCTATGTTTGCAGAGAGTGTAGGAGAGGCTTTACACGCAAGTCATGTCTCACCGGACACCAGAGGATACACTCTGGGGAGAAGCCCTATGTTTGCAAGGAATGTGGGCGAAGCTTTGCACAGAAGTCAGTTCTCATCACACACCAGAGGACACACTCTGGGGAGAAGCCCTATGTTTGCAGGGAATGCGGGCGAAGCTTTGCACTGAAGTCATATCTCATCAGACACCAGAGGACACACTCTGGGGAAAAGCCCTATGTTTGCAGGAAATGTGGGCGATGCTTTACACAGAAATCAAGTCTCATCACACACCAGAGGATACACTCTGGGGAGAAGCCCTATATTTGCAGGGAGTGTGGGCGAGGCTTTACACAGAAGTCACATCTCATCACACATCAGAGGACACACTCTGGGGAGAAGCCCTATGTTTGCAGAGAGTGTGGGCAAGGCTTTACAAGCAAGTCAAGTCTCATCACACACCAGAGGACACACTCAGGGGAGAAGCCGTATGTTTGCAGAGAGTGTGGGCAAGGATTTACACACAAGTCATGTCTCATCACACACCAGAGGACACACTCAGGGGAGAAGCCCTATGTTTGCAGGGAGTGTGGGCGAGGCTTTACACAGAAGTCACATCTCATCAGACACCAGAGAACACACTCTGGGGAGAAGCCCTATGTTTGCAGGGAGTGTGGGCGAGGATTTACACACAAGCCAGCTCTCATCACACACCAGAGAACACACTCTGGGGAGAAGCCCTATGTTTGCAGGGAGTGTGGGCGAGGATTTACACAGAAGCCACATCTCATCACACACCAGAGGATACACTCTGGGGAGAAGCCCTATGTTTGCAGGGAGTGCGGGAGAGGCTTTACACAGAAGTCACAACTCATCACACACCAGAGGACACACTCTGGGGAGAAACCCTATGTTTACAGGTGGGGTGAGTGAGTCATTGGCATTCAGTCACATATCAATAGCCAGAGGAAGTCTACAGCCCCTTATACTCCCCAAGATTGTAATTAGTATAGAAGCAACTGGTTAAAACAACCCTCCAGTTTCATGATAAGAAATGAGATGGACAAACAGTGATATGGGGATGTCAGCACCAATCTTGTTCATGGATTTTTAAGTTCCTATTCTGAAACATTTTATCTCCATAGACATATGAAGCCCAATATCTCATTCTCCCCATCACTAAAAGCTGATGGTTTCTGAAGAGCCTTAAAAACTCTTACTCTTACCCTGGCTGGCGTAGCTCAGTGGATTGAGCGTGGGCTGGGAACCAAAGTGTCCCAGGTTCGATTCCCAGCCAGGGTACATTCCTGGGTTGCAGGCCAGAACCCCCAGCAACCGCACATTGATGTTTCTCTCTCTCTCCCTCCCTTCCCTCTCTAAAAGTAAATAAATAAAATCTTTAAAACAAACAAACAAACAAACAAACAAAAAACTCTTACTCTCAACCACAGAAATTCAACTCCTGCAAATGTGTAAATCTGGAGTCCGTTTAGTTTGCTTATTGCCCAGAGAGAGGGATTTGAGACAGACTCACCAGGGAAGGGAATTCCCCAGACTCCTAGGAAGTGGGGCCTTTTCTCCTACTAGGCTCCCTACGCTCCTCCCTTGGCTTTTCTTGGCTCTTCTCCCAGTTTTCTGCAACCTCCGGAGCCTCAGAGGTGAAGGAGCCTCAGAGGTGAACGGCAGGGAGGGATGTATGCTTGTGCAGGGACATGAGCCTGGCTCAGTCTGGGCACCTGGTCTTCCTCACTCTCCTTGCTGCCCCTTCAGGGTCAGCATTTCCTGGTGCACAGCATACAGATTCCACATCAGTCCATGGTGGGTGTGAATCTCAGCTCTGTCTTCTCCAGCTGTGTGACCTAAGACCAGATTCTCAACTTCTCTCTGCCTGATTCCTAGTCTGTACACTGGAAATGGGAACTCCAGCCTTTGGGTTTGACATTCAAAGTTGAATCAGCACAGACAGAATCTGGTAAGAGGATCACCTATATTGTAAATCCTGCTGAACAGTCTCCAGTGCCCACGTCTTCTGGGTCTTTAGTTCTGGACAAAGGAAGATAAGGACAGGGTAGGGGTCTGTAGCCTAATTCAGAATTTGAGCAGATAGCACTGCTTTCCCCACATAGACTCAGCTGCCCTGAGAAGGAGGCCCCAGATGGGGGATGTACTTCCCTCCAGGTCACCACTCTCTCACTGACCCTGCACACCCTCAGAGCCTCCTCAACACAGGCAGGTGCTACTGACAGTGACCTGTGAAACCAGACCCTAGCCCACCCCTTGCTGAGAACTGACACTGGGAACAGCACCTGCCTGCACTGGTGTGTTAGGTGGGATAGATGGTAGGCCAAGGCAGGGAGGACAAGGAAGATGTGTGTCACCCACTAACTCAGCAGTCCTGAGTCTGGTCCAGTTCTATTGCCAAATGGTCCAACATCACAAAACACCATGCTAACACATTGAAGTTCTAGGTATCGTTTCCAGTATGTGGCAAACAAAGGCTTTCAAACTGTATTCATCTGAAGGCCTAGAAGATGTGAGGGGGTCCACAGCACTGAAGGAAAGGACCCATAAAAGAAATCTGGCTCATTTTTTGCCTGTGGCCACTGTTTTATTAGAGGGTCCCTAGTGCTTACAGAAAGAGCCCATTGGTAACTTTGGGTAACTGCCTCAACTTGAACTGTCTCCTGTCATGTATCTATTTTACAAGATGATCAAATGGGGACTGAAGTGAGAAGAATTCAGGCTAGCAACTCCCAGATTCCTACGTTTGGGTAGTCACATTCCCCGTGGAAGCTGACACCACTTTTATCCACCAATCAATATGTAACTTCTCCCCCATCCCAGCAACTACCGGTATATAAGTCCTCAGGGCAAAGGACCTGGTGATCTTGCCTTTCACTCCCATTTCCGTAAGACCTGTCCTCTTCCATGAGAATGTCTCAGTAATAAACCCTGATTGCATGCTAATGCACTTGCTCATCTGTAATCCTATACTGCATTGGCAAGAAGGACCGAGTTTCTCCTGTGACAGGTGCACCCAATCTGCATATGGCATTCATGAAGCCCACAACACAGAAGCTTCTGTGATGCACTTGTACTTGGGCCCCACAGGGCTGAATATACCACTGACACCATCTCGAAATTAGTCCTTACTGTATCTTTAAACTTTTGTTTGTGAGGTCAAGACTGATGGGATAATGGACATGCACAATGTTGGTCATTCCTGGCCACCCATTCTCAAATAATGTCCACAATGGCCCAGGAGGACAACATTCCAGTGGGCCCAATGGAGGGGAGTCCAGCGAGACTGCAATTGACAACAGGGTAAACCTCTACATCTGCATAAGCATAAGGAAGGGTGCTAACAACTCCCAGAGGCCGCATTTTTCTTAGAACCAGAGCTGAGTTCAATATACAGAGATGGCAAACAATTAGTGAGGACCCCATCATACCCTCTTCTGCATGAGGGAGACCTGAGCATGACCCACCCTGTTCCTGCTGGAGTGGGTTCACCAAACAGGGACACCCGCCACCATGACCTGGAATGATGACCTTTCTATCCTCCCAGTGCCAGGCTTATAAAGAGTGTCTACATAAACTATGTGAATTTCAATAATAAATACCCACTATTGTGTTCTTTTATGTTTTTCTAAAGGAAGGTGTGTGTCTTTCTCAGGTTTCATTTTCCTTCCCTGTTTCTCCCCCAGCACCACAGCCCAGAGAGAACACCATAAACTCAATATTCTGTGGCTTTCAGCATGGGTCATGGGAGAGGGACAGAGTCCTGGTGTAATGCTGGCAGAGGGGCTGGCACTGAATACAGTGGGAAGGGGCCCACAGACTGCTACATGACACCACTACCCCCCACCAGGAGAGACCCGGGAGTTCTCCCAGAAGGCTTAGCGATTCAAGATGAGTAGAGAGGTGTGTTCCCTTCAGCAGCAAGCCACATTCCTAGTGTAGCCTCCAGCCTCCAAGGTGTCCCCCCAATGCACATGCTGTCACCCCTGCCCTTGTACAGTCCCCCCACACAACCAAGCTGATATATCATGAAAATGGTCTGTGGCTCTCAAAGCTAAGTCAGAAACAGAAACTTTTGTTTCAGCCTTGCTTGCATAGTTCACACAATCTCAGACCACCTTGTGCAGGAAGCCGGGTGCTTACACAATGCCCCCCCCCACCATGCCCACCTACTGGTGGCTGCCAGCCACCATCGTTGTTTTGAAGTGGAGGCCCCGAGAAGTGACTGCAGCCCAACATCTGCAGGATGCTGAATCTCTTGCCCTTGCCAAGAAGCTGGTTTAATGGAGAGGATGGCCTTTCTAGGAGGGTGCCTCAGGGGCTCCTCATCTGCTCTCTGGGTGGCACTGGATGGATGAGCCAAACCTACCTCTGATCCCCACAGTGAAGTATCATGTGTCAGGCTACAGAGCGTGCCCCTATACAGCCCAACAGCTCAAGGTGACGGCCTCCAAGGTGACGAGTTAAATTCTGCAGTGACAGCTGGACTCACACTTACTGACAGCAACAGCCACCCTCTCATCTTCAGCCTGACCATATCCAGCAGGGGCCACCACACATCCCATGAACTGTGTTCACTGGTGGCTCATGTGTTACCGTGTTGAGCCACAGTGTCTCCTGAGCCGGTGGCCCTAGCCAGGTGGCTTGTTAGAACCCTCTGAGCCTCATTGGGACACACCAACTGACTCTCTGACCTAAAGCAAGGGCAGCCACCCCTGGGCAGTGACTCAAATGGGGAGACCAGTGAAGCAGACACTCCATGACAAAATGTGGTTGCTCTGACATCAGGAGGGGGGCTGATTCCAACCACAAATTCCCAACACAGTAGCATCAGGATGGGCATAGGCATCCTTCCTGTGACAGTCCAGCCGCTGTGGCCTGTGCGCCTCCCTGTGGTTGGTGCTTGTCCAGACAGCAGCTAGACCAGCCAAGTTCTCAGATCTCTGCTTGGGGTCTTGGCTGACCAAGAAGAACCATCAGTTCCAGGTTACTGAGCAGCGTGTGCTGCATGTTTTACCTGCATGGTCTCAAATCTATGAGGCAGAAACACCTTCAGCCACAGGCCCAGAAATGTCATAAAGATGGTTCGAGAGGATGACTGCATTAAGACTTTGTCACACAGTCCAGGCCCAGAGGCCCGGCTGCCAGGCAGCCCAGCAGCAGCACCAGGCACACAGCTTCAGCTGTCTTTCTGCTCTGTCTTCCTGGGCCTGAGTTTTGTCCTTCTGGTAGCAAGGGGCTCCTGCACTTCCAGTATCACATTCGTCCAGTCCCAGAGACAGGGAGTGAGGAGGGCAGGAGCCAGTTTCTTTTGACCTGGAAGGCCGCTACTGCAGGGCTTCTTACAGTTGGGAAGCCCTCCCCTCTCTGGATGAAGCCACAGTTTGTGTCCTTTGATTCCAAGACAGAGAAGCCAGGATATGACGAACTGCTCCATGTGGCGTGGGGAATGTAGCCCAGCCCCTACTCAGAAAGGCCAGTGGGGAGTAAGGTTGGCACACAGGACCCACGCCCATGGATAGGTTTTCCTGTGGGAATCAGACCTACATTGTACCCAGGCTGCTATGAGGCTTGCTTTTGTTAAAACTCCCTCACCCTGGATTGAGGCAGCAAACGTTTACTAAGTATCTTTAACTTCCTAAAATCTGTGCTAAACCTCCCAAGCATGGAGTGTAACTGGTTCAACCACTTTTCCCCTTGATCTGCAACATTCTTCTCTTTGAAGCAATTAGCAACATTCTTCCTTTTGTTATCTGTAAAAGGTAATCACCTACAGTGGACCTATGCATAGTAAATGAGGAACATCCTTGATTTAATGTCCCCCAAAAAGCAATAAAAGCCTGTCCAGGCAGGGGTCAGGGCCCTCTCTCTCACTTACAGAGTGGCCATGCCATCCCTTTTTCTCCGCAGGA